ATGTAATATTGATTTTTTGTTTTTTTACGTTTTCCTTTTGATTTGTGAGTCAAGATTACTCTATTATTGCCTTGGCTTATATACGTTAACTTAATATATACCTCAGTGTTAAAATGTGTCTGGAAAGTTTAGCACAGAATGAAAATATGAAGAAATATTTACTACGTTCTCTTTGCCAACTGTCTTGCCTTGTGTGAGTATGAATGAACCACTTTTACTAATAAGTACACAAACAAACAAATTAGTTTAAGTCAAATCGATATTAATATTTATGCTCAATCTAGTATCCATGTACTTAACGTTATGTACTTTAATATTCTAATCTAAACTAAATAATATAAAATAATAGTTGATTAATGATAATGATGAACTAGGTATAGTGTTGGGAAATATGGTTTAAATAGGTTATACTTGTGTGTGTATGTGTGTACTGTAGGTAAAGGAGACACCATGAATAGTACTAATTCAGAACTAGCTACTTGTATGCTTGAATAAAAAGTTATAATTCTTTTCTTGCCATTTACGCATTCCTTTAGTGGTGTTGTACTACTTTCTATTATGACTGGACGACAAGATAGCAAAAACAAAGAACACAAAAATAAAGTCTTCCTTAACCGGTCTCCTCTTACCGGATTTGAGTCCTTCATTTTCCCCAGGTATTCCTTCCTCTCTGATTACTCCCCAATAAAATAAGGTGTAGGTTATGTATCTAAGCTACTGTGCCGAGTAGCAACCCTGTACATAAGCTACTGTGCCAAGTAGCATTTATATATATAATCACGTGGCAATACTGCACGTTATGTGGCATCATTGCCCCGAGGCTGCCATATGGCAGCCTCGGGGCAATGATGCCACATAACGTGCAGTATTGCCACGTGATTATATATATAAATGCTACTTGGCACAGTAGCTTATGTACAGGGTTGCTACTCGGCACAGTAGCTTAGATACATAACCTACATAAGGTCTTGGTGGATTTTCTTTGGGATTAAGAGTAGCCGTTTAGTTTCCTCTATTTTGGACTCTCAATTTCCCTTTCCCTAATGGTCTATAATAGCCTCGTTTAGTTTATTTATACAGTACTAGCAACTCTGTCCCTGGAGGTGGGGATGGAACTTGTAGTGGAGTAACTATGACCCTGGGGGTGTACCTTGTAGTGGAGTAACTATGACCCTGGGGGTGTACCTTGTAGTGGAGTAACTATGACCCTGGGGATGTACCTTGTAGTGGAGTAACTATGACCCTGGGGGTGGGTGTACCTTGTAGTGGAGTAACTATGACCCTGGGGTGTACCTTGTAGTGGAGTAATCCAGACCCCTGGGTGTACCTTGCAGTGGAGTAACTATGACCTGGGGTGTACCTTGTAGTGGAGTAATCCATGACCCTGGGGTGTACCTTGTAGTGAAGTAACTATTGACCCTGGGGTGTACCTTGTAGTGGAGTAACTATGGACCCTGGGGGTGTACCTTTGTAGTGGAGTAACTATGACCCTGGGGGTGTACCTTTGTGTGAGTAACTATGACCCTGGGGGTGTACCTGTAGTGGAGTAACTATGATCCTGGGGGTGCACCAGAAGAAGCAACTATGACCCTGGGTGTACCAGGAGGACCATGACCTTGGGGGTGTACCTTGTAGTGAAGTAACCATGACCCTGGGGGTGTACCTTGTAGTGGGAGTAACTATGACCCCTAAAACCTTGTAGTGGGAGTAACTATGACCCTGGGGGTGTACCTTGTGTGGAGTAACTATGACCTCTGGGGGTGTACCTTGTAGTGAAGTAACTATGACCCTGGGGGTGTACCTTGTAGTGGAGTAATCCATGACCTTGGGGGTGTACCTTTGTAGGAGTAACTATGACCTTTGGGGTGTACCTGTAGTGAGTAACTATGACCCTGGGGGTGTACTCCTTGTAGTGAAGTAACTATGACCTGGGGTGTACCTTGTAGTGGAGTAACTATGACCCTGGGGGTGTACCTTGTAGTGGAGTAACTATGACCCTGGGGTGTACCTTGTAGTGGAGTAACTATGACCCTGGGGGTGTACCTTGTAGTGGAGTAACTATGACCCTGGGGTGTACCTTGTAGTGGAGTAACTATGACCCTGGGGGTGTACCTTATAGTGGAGTAACTATGACCTTGGGGTGTACCTTGTAGTGAGTAACTATGACCTGGGGGGGTACCTTGTATGGAGTAACTATGACCCTGGGGGTGTACCTTGTAGTGGAGTAACTATGACCCTGGGGGTGTACCTTGTAGTGGAGTAACTATGACCCTGGGGGTGTACCTTGTAGTGGAGTAACTATGACCCTGGGGATGTACCTTGTAGTGGAGTAACTATGACCCTGGGGGTGTACCTTGTAGTGGAGTAACTATGACCCTGGGGATGGAACTTATAGTGCAGTAACTATGACCCTGGGGGTGTACCTTGTAGTGGAGTAACTATGACCCTGGGGGTGTACCTTGTAGTGGAGTAACTATGACCCTGGGGGTGTACCTTGTAGTGGAGTAACTATGACCCTGGGGATGGAACTTATAGTGCAGTAACTATGACCCTGGGGTGTACCTTGTAGTGGGTAACTATGACCCTGGGGGTGTACCTGTGGTGAGTAACTAACTATGACCCTGGGGTGTACCTTGTAGTGGAGTAACTATGACCCTGGGGGTGTACCTTGTAGTGGAGTAACTATGACCCTGGGGTGTACCTTGTAGTGGAGTAACTATGACCCTGGGGGTGTACCTTGTAGTGGAGTAACTATGACCCTGGGGTGTACCTTGTAGTGGAGTAACTATGACCCTGGGGGTGTACCTTATAGTGGAGTAACCGCCCCTGGAAGAGCCCTTCGGGATGCAATCGCCCCAAGAAGGATCCCTGAGAGCGCTGCCGGTCTGTCAGGGCCCCTATGATTATTGGCTCTCATAAAAAGGCCCCTGGAGGCGCTACTGCCCCTAGCTGGACCCCTGGGGGAACCCTGGGGGCGCCACCGGTTCTGGGAAGGCCCCGGAGTCGACGCCTTTCCTGGTAGGGCTTCCGATACCCCTGGGAGGGTCCCTGGGGACGCTTTCGCCCCTGGCAGAGCCCCTCAGGGACCCACTACAACCTGGAAAAGCCCTCGGGACGCAGCCGCTTTTGGGAGGGCCCCTGGGAGCGTCCCTGGGGACACCACCACTTCTGGAAGGTCCCCGACAGGCTTCGCTGCCCCTGGAGTAACTGCCGGTCCTGGAGGGCCCCTGGGATCGCCTAGGACAATGGCAGGGCCCCTGAGTTCCCCACCGTTCTTGGGAAGGCGTTTGGAGGAGGAAGCGCACTCTAACCAAACCTAACCACCCCTGACAAGGGCCCCTCGAGGTCGTTGCCGCCCCTACGAAGGACCCTGGGTACGCCATAACCCCTGGGATGGTACCTGGGAGCACCACGGTTCTTGGGAGGACCGTTGGGCAGCCACCGCCTCTGGGAAGGCCCCTGATGCAGTTGTTTTTGCACTGTTTAGAAATCTGGATGATTTGACGTTAAATAACTACACCGCCCATCACATTTCCAGGATCATCTCATCCTGAACAATGAAAAGAAGAATAAAATTAATATCCAACAGGAAAACATAAGTTCGGGTGTTGTGCTGACCGACTGCTCTGTTCTCCTATTGGCTGTAATTTGGTGGATTTACATTCTAGTCCACCAATCACAGTCAAGTAAAGGATTGCTTGAAGTATGTAATATGTACGACACCATGACCAAGCAAGGTTGAGGGCTCCTGATAGAGGGCGTCCCTGGGAGGGCCGCTTGTGGAGCCGCCGCCTAGAGAAGGAACTCTGGGGGCGTCCACACCCGTGGGACATCCCTTGAAGTGCCACCGCCCCTGGAAGAGCCCTTAGGGGCGCCATCGCCCCTAGAAGGGTCCCTGAGAGCGCTACCGGTCTGACCAGGCCCCTATGGTTATTGGCCACCATAAAAAGGGCCCCTGGAGGCGCTCCCGCCCCTAGGGGGTCACCTGGGGGGAACCCTGGAGGCGCCACCGGTTCTGGGAAAGCCCCGGGGTCGGCGCCTTCCCTGGTAGGGCTTTCGATACCCCTGGATTGTCCCTGGGGACGCTTTCGCCCCTGGCAGAGCCCCGTAGGGAGCCACTACACCCTGTAAAAGCCCTGGGGTCGCAGCCGCTTTTGGGAGGGCCCCTGGGAGCGTCCCTGGGGACACCACGACTTCTGGGAGGTCCCCTACAGGCTTCGCCCCCCTGGGATAACTGCCGGTCCTGGAGGGCCCCTGGGATCGCCTCGACTCCTGGCAGGGCCCCTGAGTTCCCCACCGTTCTTGGGAAGGCGTTTGGAGGAGGAAACATACCCTAATCAAAAGTAACCACCCCTAACGAGGGCTCCTGGGGGTCGTTGCCGCCCCTAGGAAGGACCCTGGGTGCGCTGTCGCCCCTGGGAGAGCACCTGGGAGCACCACGGTTCTTGGGAGGGCAATTGGGAAGACACCACCTTTGGGAAGGCCCCTGATGCAGTTGTTTTTGCACTGTTTAGAAATCTGGAAGATTTGACGTTAAATAAATACACCGCCCATCACATTTCCAGGATCATCTCATCCTGAACAATGAAAAGAAGAATAAAATTAATATCCAACAGGAAAACATAAGTTGGGGTGTTGTGCTGACCGACTGCTCTGTTCTCCTATTGGCTGTAATTTGGTGGATTTACATTCTAGTCCACCAATCACAGTTAAGTAAAGGATTGCTTGAAGTATGCAATATGTACGACACCATGACCAAGCAAGGTTGAGGGCTTCTCATAGGGGGCGTCCCTGGGAGTGGCACCTTGGGGAGCCGCCGCCTAGGGGAGGGACTCTGGGGGCGTCCACACCCGTGGGACATCCCATGAAGTGCCACCGCCCCTGGAAGAGCCCTTCGGGGCGCCATCGCCCCTAGAAGGGTCCCTGAGAGCGCTGCCGGTCTGGCAGGGCCCCTATGGTTATTGGCTCCCATAAAAAGGCCCCTGGAGGTGCTCCTGCCCCTACAGGTCACCTGGGGGGAACCCTGGGGGCGCCACCGGTTCTGGGAAGGCCCCGGGGTCGATGCCTTCCCTGGTAGGGCTTCTGATACCCCTGGGAGGGTCCCTAGGGACGCTTTGGTCCCTGCCAGAGCCCCTCAGGGAGCCATTATCCCTGGAAAAGCCCTGGGGTCGCAGCCGCTTTTGGGAGGGCCCCTGGGAGCGTCCCTGGGGACACCACCACTTCTGGGAGGTCCCCTACAGGCTTCGCCGCCCCTCGGGTAACTGCCAGTTTTGGAGTGCCCCTGAGATCGCCTCGGCACCTGGCAGGGCCCCTGCGTTCCCCACCGTTCTTGGGAAGGCGTTTGGAGGTGGAAGCGCACCCTAACCTAACCACCCCTAACGATGGCCCCTGGGGGCGTTGCCGCCCCTAGGAAGAACCCTGGGTGTGCCGTAGACCCTGGAAGGGCACCTGGGAGCACCACGGTTCTTGGGAGCTCCATTGGGGAGCCACCGCCTCTGGGAAGGCCCCTGATGCAGTTGTTTTTACACTGTTTAGAAATCTGGAAGGTTTGACGTTAAATAAATACACCGCCCATCACATTTCCAGGATCATCTCATCCTGAACAATGAAAAGAAGAATAAAATAAATATCCAACAGGAAAACATAAGTTGGGGTGTTGTGCTGACCGACTGCTCTGTTCTCCTATTGGCTATAATTTGGTGGATTTACATTCTAGTCCACCAATCACAGTTAAGTAAAGGATTGCTTGAAGTATGCAATATGTACGACACCATGACCAAGCAAGGTTGAGGGCTCCTGATAGAGGGCGTCCCTGGGAGGAACGCTTGTGGAGCCGCCGCCTAGAGGAGGGACTCTGGGGGCGTCCACACCCGTGGGACATCCCTTGAAGTGCCACCGCCCCTGGAAGAGCCCTTCGGGGCGCCATCGCCCCTAGAAGGGTCCCTGAGAGCGCTGCCGGTCTGACCAGGCCCCTATGGTTATTGGCTCCCATAAAAAGGGCCCCTGGAGGCGCTCCCGCCCCTAGGGGGTCACCTGGGGGGAACCCTGGGGGCGCACCGGTTCTGGGAAGGCCCCGGGGTCGGCGCCTTCCCTGGTAGGGCTTCCGATACCCCTGGGAGGGTCCCTGGGGACGCTTTCGCCCCTGGCAGAGCCCCTCAGGGAGCCACTACAACCTGGAAAAGCCCTGGGGTCACAGCCGCTTTTGGGAGGGCCCCTGGGAGCGTCCCTGTGGACACCACCACTTCTGGGAAGTCCCCTACAGGCTTCGCCGCCCCTGGGGTAACTGTCTGTCTTGGAGGGCCCCTGGGATCGCCTCGGCCCCTGGCAGGGCCCCTGAGTTCCCCACTCTTCTTTGGAAGGCGTTTGGAGGAGGAATCGCACTCTAACCAAACCTAACCACACCTAACGAGTGCCCCTGGGGGTCGTTGCCGCCCCTAGGAAGGACCCTGGGTGCGCCTTAGCCCCTGGAAAGGCACCTGGAAGCACCACGGTTCTTGGGAGGGCAATTGGGGAGACACCACCTTTGGGAAGGCCCCTGATGCAGTTGTTTTTGCACTGTTTATAAATCTGGAAGATTTGACGTTAAATAAATACACAGCCCATCACATTTCCAGGATCATCTCATCCTGAACAATGAAAAGAAGAATAAAATAAATATCCAACAGGAAAACATAAGTTGGGGTGTTGTGCTGACCGACTGCTCTGTTCTCCTATTGGCTGTAATTTGGTGGATTTACATTCTAGTCCACCAATCACAGTTAAGTAAAGGATTGCTTGAAGTATGCAATATGTACGACACCATGACCAAGCAAGGTTGAGGGCTCCTGATAGAGGGCGTCCCTGGGAGGAACGCTTGTGGAGCCACCGCCTAGAGGAGGGACTCTGGGGGCGTCCACACCCGTGGGACATCCCTTGAAGTGCCACCGCCCCTGGAAGAGCCCTTCGGGGCGCCATCGCCCCTAGAAGGGTCCCTGAGAGCGCTGCCGGTCTGACCAGGCCCCTATGGTTATTGGCTCCCATAAAAAGGGCACCTGGAGGCGCTCCCACCCCTAGGGGGTCACCTGGGGGAACCCTGGGGGCGCCACCGGTTCTGGGAAGGCCCCGGGGTCGGCGCCTTCCCTGGTAGGGCTTCCGATACCCCTGGGAGGGTCCTTGGGGACGCTTTCGCCCCTGGCAGAGACCCTCAGGGAGCCACTACAACCTGGAAAAGCCCTGGGGTCACAGCCGCTTTTGGGAGGGCCCCTGGGAGCGTCCCTGTGGACACCACCACTTCTGGGAACTCCCCTACAGGCTTCGCCGCCCCTGGGGTAACTGTCTGTCTTGGAGGGCCCCTGGGATCGCCTCGACCCCTGGCAGGGCCCCTGAGTTCCCCACTCTTCTTGGGAAGGCGTTTGGAGGAGGAATCGCACTCTAACCAAACCAAACCACACCTAACGAGTGCCCCTGGGTGTCGTTGCCGCCCCTAGGAAGGACCCTGGGTGCGCCTTAGCCCCTGGGAAGGCACCTGGGAGCTCCACGGTTCTTGGGAGGGCAATTGGGGAGACACCACCTTTGGGAAGGCCCCTGATGCAGTTGTTTTTGCACTGTTTATAAATCTGGAAGATTTGACGTTAAATAAATACACCGCCCATCACATTTCCAGGATCATCTCATCCTGAACAATGAAAAGAAGAATAAAATAAATATCCAACAGGAAAACATAAGTTGGGGTGTTGTGCTGACCGACTGCTCTGTTCTCCTATTGGCTGTAATTTGGTGGATTTACATTCTAGTCCACCAATCACAGTTAAGTAAAGGATTGCTTGAAGTATGTAAAATGTACGACACCATGACCAAGCAAGGTTGAGGGCTTCTCATAGGGGGCGTCCCTGGGAGAGGCACCTTGGGGAGCCGCCGCCTAGGGGAGGGACTCTGGGGGCGTCCACACCCGTGGGACATCCCATGAAGTGCCACCGCCCCTGGAAGAGCCCTTCGCGGCGCCATCGCCCCTAGAAGGGTCCCTGAGAGCGCTGCCGGTCTGGCAGGGCCCCTATGGTTATTGGCTCCCATAAAAAGGCCCCTGGAGGTGCTCCTGCCGCTAACAGGTCCCCTGGGGGGAACCCTATGGGCGCCACCGGTTCTGAGAAGGCCCCGGGGTCGATGCCTTCCCTGGTAGGGCTTCTCATACCCCTGGGAGGGTCCCTAGGGACGCTTTGGTCCCTGCCAGAGCCCCTCAGGGAGCCATTATCCCTGGAAAAGCCCTGGGGTCGCAGCCGCTTTTGGGAGGGCCCCTGGGAGCGTCCCTGGGGACACCACCACTTCTGGGAGGTCCCCTACAGTCTTCGCCGCCCCTCGGGTAATTGCCAGTTTTGGAGTGCCCCTGAGATCGTCTCGGCACCTGGCAGGGCCCCTGCGTTCCCCACCGTTCTTGGGAAGGCATTTGGAGGTGGAAGCGCACCCTAACCAAACCTAACCACCCCTACCGATGGCCCCCGGGGGCGTTGCCGCCCCTAGGAAGAACCCTGGGTGTGCTGTAGACCCTGGAAGGGCACCTGGGAGCACCACGGTTCTTCGGAGCTCCATTGGGGAGCCACCGTCTCTGGGAAGGCCCCTGATGTAGTTGTTTTTACACTGTTTAGAAATCTGGAAGGTTTGACCTTAAATAAATACACAGCCCATCACATTTCCAGGATCATCTCATCCTGAACAATGAAAAGAAGAATAAAATAAATATCCAACAGGAAAACATAAGTTGGGGTGTTGTGCTGACCGACTGCTCTGTTCTCCTATTGGCTATAATTTGGTGGATTTACATTCTAGTCCACCAATCACAGTTAAGTAAAGGATTGCTTGAAGTATGCAATATGTACGACACCATGACCAAGCAAGGTTGAGGGCTCCTGATAGAGGGCGTCCCTGGGAGGAACGCTTGTGGAGCCGCCGCCTAGAGGAGGGACTCAGGGGGCGTCCACACCCGTGGGACATCCCTTGAAGTGCCACCGCCCCTGGAAGAGCCCTTCGGGGCGCCATCGCCCCTAGAAGGGTCCCTGAGAGCGCTGCCGGTCTGACCAGGCCCCTATGGTTATTGGCTCCCATGAAAAGGGGCCCTGGAGGCGCTCCCGCCCCTAGGGGGTCACCTGGGGGGAACCCTGAGGGCGCCACCGGTTCTGGGAAGGCCCCGGGGTCGGCGCCTTCCCTGGTAGGGCTTCCGATACCCCTGGGAGGGTCCCTGGGGACGCTTTCGCCCCTGGCAGAGACCCTCATGGAGCCACTACAACCTGGAAAAGCCCTGGGGTCACAGCCGCTTTTGGGAGGGCCCCTGGGAGCGTCCCAGTGGACACCACCACTTCTGGGAACTCCCCTACAGGCTTCGCCGCCCCTGGGGTAACTGTCTGTCTTGGAGGGCCCCTGGGATCGCCTCGGCCCCTGGCAGGGCCCCTGAGTTCCCCACTCTTCTTGGGAAGGCGTTTGGAGGAGGAATCGCACTAACCAAACCAAACCACACCTAACGAGTGCCCCTAGGGGTCGTTGCCGTCCCTAGGAAGGATCCTGGGTGCGCCTTAGCCCCTGGGAAGGCACCTGGGAGCACCACGGTTCTTGGGAGGGCAATTGGGGAGACACCACCTTTGGGAAGGCCCCTGATGCAGTTGTTTTTGCACTGTTTATAAATCTGGAAGATTTGACGTTAAATAAATACACCGCCCATCACATTTCCAGGATCATCTCATCCTGAACAAGGAAAAGAAGAAAAAATTAACAGCCAACAGGAAAACATAAGTTGGGGTGTTGTGCTGACCGACTGCTCTGTTCTCCTATTGGCTATAATTTGGTGGATTTACATTCTAGTCCACCAATCACAGTTAAGTAAAGGATTGCTTGAAGTATGCAATATGTACGACACCATGACCAAGCAAGGTTGAGGGCTCCTGATAGAGGGCGTCTCTGGGAGGAACGCTTGTGGAGCCGCCGCCTAGAGGAGGGACTCTGGGGGCGTCCACACCCGTGGGATATCCCTTGAAGTGCCACCGCCCCTGGAAGAGCCCTTCGGGGCGCCATCGCCCCTAGAAGGGTCCCTGAGAGCGCTGCCGGTCTGACCAAGCCCCTATGGTTATTGGCTCCCATAAAAAGGGCCCTTGGAGGCGCTCCCGCCCCTAGGGGGTCACCTGGGGAAAACCCTGGGGGCGCCACCGGTTCTGGGAAGGCCCCGGGGTCGGCGCCTTCCCTGGTAGGGCTTCCGATACCCCTGGGAGGGTCCCTGGGGACGCTTTCGCCCCTGGCAGAGCCCCTCAGGGAGCCACTACAACCTGGAAAAGCCCTGGGGTCACAGCCGCCTTTGGGAGGGCCCCTGGGAGCGTCCCTGTGGACACCACCACTTCTGGGAAGTCCCCTACAGGCTTCGTCGCCCCTGGGGTAACTGTCTGTCTTGGAGGGCCCCTGGGATCGCCTCGGCCCCTGGCAGGGCCCCTCAGTTCCCCACTCTTCTTTGGAAGGCGTTTGGAGGAGGAATCGCACTCTAACCAAACCTAACCACACCTAACGAATGCCCCTGGGGGTCGTTGCCGCCCCTAGGAAGGACCCTGGGTGCGCCTTAGCCCCTGGAAAGGCACCTGGAAGCACCACGGTTCTTGGGAGGGCAATTGGGGAGACACCACCTTTGGGAAGGCCCATGATGCAGTTTTTTTTTGCACTGTTTATAAATCTGGAAGATTTGACGTTAAATAAATACACCGCCCATCACATTTCCAGGATCATCTCATCCTGAACAATGAAAAGAAGAATAAAATAAATATCCAACAGGAAAACATAAGTTGGGGTGTTGTGCTGACCGACTGCTCTGTTCTCCTATTGGCTGTAATTTGGTGGATTTACATTCTAGTCCACCAATCACAGTTAAGTAAAGGATTGCTTGAAGTATGTAATATGTACGACACCATGACCAAGCAAGGTTGAGGGCATCTCATAGGGGGCGTCCCTGGGAGTGGCACCTTGGGGAGCCGCCGCCTAGGGGAGGGACTCTGGGGGCGTCCACACCCGTGGGACATCCCATGAAGTGCCACCGCCCCTGGAAGAGCCCTTCGGGGCGCCATTGCCCCTAGAAGGGTCCCTGAGAGCGCTGCCGGTCTGGCAGGGCCCCTATGGTTATTGGCTCCCAGAAAAAGGCCCCTGGAGGTGCTCCTGCCGCTAACAGGTCCCCTGGGGGGAACCCTATGGGCGCCACCGGTTCTGGGAAGGCCCCGGGGTCGATGCCTTCCCTGGTAGGGCTTCTGATACCCCTGGAGGGTCCCTGGTACGCTGCCCTGGCAGACACCCCTCAGGGAGCCACTACAACCCGGAAAAGCCCTGGGGTCACAGAGCCGCTGGAGGGTCTCCATGAGCGTCCCTGGGGACACCACTCTGGGAGGTCCTCTACAGGCTTCTGCCGGGTCTCTGGGGTAACTGCCGGTCCTGAGAGCCCTCTTCTACTTAGACACTTGGCAGGCCCCTGAGTTCCCCAACTGCCCTTGGGAAGGCGTTGCAGGAGGTGCCCCTGTAATCAATAGTAACCACCCCTCAACGCAGGGCTCGCGGGAGGCCGCCCCTAGAAGTGCACCCTGGTGCGCTAGGCCCTGGGAGAACACCTGGGAGCACCAATGGTTCTTGGAGGGCCATTGGGAGCCACCGCCTCTGGGAAGGCCCCTGGATGCAGTTGTTTGCACTGTTTAGAAATCTGGAAGATTTGACGTTAAATAAATACACTGCCCATCACATTTCCAGGATCATCTCATCCTGAACAATGAAAGTTATTAAATTAATATCCAACAGGAAAACATATGTTGGGGTGTGTTGTGCTGACCGACTGCTCTGTTCTCCTATTGGCTGTAATTTGGTGGATTTACATTCTAGTCCACCAATCACAAAGTTAAGCAAAGGATTGCTTGAAGTATGCAATATGTACGACACCATGACCAAGCAAGGTTGAGGGCTTTCACAGGGGGTGTCCTGGAGGGCACCCTAGCCGCCGCCTAGGGGAGGGAGCCCAGTGTCCACACCCGTGGGACATCCCACATGAAGTGCCACCGCCCCTGAAGAGCCCTTCAAAGCACACCGCCCCAGAAAGCGTCCCTGAGAGCGCTGCCGGTCTGACCAGGCCCCCATGGCTATTGGCTCCCCATAAAAAAGGCCCTGAGGCGCTCCCGCCCCTCAGGGGGTCACCTGGGGAAACCCCTGGGGCGCCACCGGTTCTGGGAGAAGGCCCCAAGTCGGCGCCTTCCCCTGGGAGGGCTTCCGATACCCCTGGGAGTGGTCCCTGGGGACGTTTTCGCCCTGGCAGAGCCCCCTCAGGGAGCCATCACAACCTGAAAGCCCTGGGGGTCACAGCCGCTTGGGAGGGCCCTCCCCTGGGAGTCCCTGTGGACACCACCACTTCTGGAAGTCTCTACAGGCTTCTGCCCCTGGGGTAATCTCTGTCTGTCTTGGAGGGCCCCTGGGATCGCCTGGAACACCTTCTGGCAGGCCCCTGAGTTCCTGCACTCTCTTGGAAGGCGCTTGGGAGGAGGAATCGCACTCTAACCAAACCTAACCACATCCTAACGCCCCTAAATGCTGCCGCCCCTAGAAGGACCCTGGGTGCGCCTTTAGCCCCTGGAAAGGCACCTGGAAGCACCACGGTTCTTGGGAGTGGGCAATTGGGAGACACTACCTTTGGGAAGGCCCTGATGCAGTTGTTTTTGCACTGTTTATAAATCTGGAAGATTTGACGTTAAATAAATACACCGCCCATCACATTTCCAGGATCATCTCATCCTGAAATAAATGAAAAGAAGAAAAAATTAATATCCAACAGGAAAACATGTTGGGGTGTTGTGCTGACCGACTGCTCTGTTCTTCCTATTGGCTGTAATTCTGGTGGATTTATTCTTCTAGTCCACCAATCACAGTTAAAGGATTGCTGAAGCATGCAATATGTACGACACGCTACATCTGCCAAGGTTGAGGGTTCCTGATAGGGCGTCCCTGGGAGGAACGCTTGTGAGCCACCGCCTAGAGGAGGGACTCTGGGGGCGTCCACCCCCGTGGAACATCCTTGAAGTGCCACCGCCCCTGCAAGTATTCTCAAGGCCATCGCCCCTAGAAGGGTCCCTGAGAGCTGCCGGTCTGACCACAGGCCTCTATGGTTGGCTCCCATAAAAGGGCCCTGGAGGCGCTCCCACCCCTAGGGGTCACCTGGGAGGAACCCTGGGGCGCCAATGGTTCTGGGAAGGCCCTGGCTCCGGCGCGCCTTCCCTGGTAGGGCTTCCGATACCCCTGGGAGGTCCCTGGGGACGCTGCCCTGGCAGAGACCCCCTCAGGGAGCCACTACAACCTGAATAGCCCTGTGGGTCAAGCCGCTTGGAGGCCCTGGAGTGTGTCCCTCCCTGTGGACACCTCACCACTTCTGGGAAGTTCCCTACAGGCTTCGCTCGCCCCTGGGTAACAATTGCAGCCTGTCTGAGGGCCCCTGGGATCGCTCTCGACCATTTCGGCAGGGGCCCCCTGAGTTCCCCACTTTTCTTGGGAAGGCGTTTGGAGTGAGTGAATCGCACCCCAACCAAACCAAACCACCTAACGAGTGCCCCTGGAGGTCAGTTGCTGCCCCTAGGAAGGACCTGGTGCGCCTTAGCCCCTGGAAGGCACCTGGGAGCACCACGGTTCTTGGGAGGGCAATTGGGACACCACCTTTGGGAAGGCCCTGATGCAGTTGTTTTTGCACTGTTTAGAATCTGGAAGATTTGACGTTAAATAAAATACACTGCCCATCACATTTCCAGGATCATC